TGTATTTAACCAAGTGACATTTTTGCTCACTTCCACCAACTGTGAAGAAATTACGAAGTTAATGATGCATGCACATAGTGATGGCTACTGTGACTTTTATTTCAATATCAACAAATATATTTATATTTTTCTATTAACCAAATCTGTTATAACAACACTTGTACGGCATGACTACAAGTCAATCAATTTATTATAAATCAGAAACCAAATAATTTTCCATGAAAAATTAGATGCACAAAGAAAGACCGTGAGATTACCGAATATTCTTATGTTTACATCACACTGTACAATATTACGGACACAATTATTTGTTGCGAAAAGTGATGTGAAGGACATTACTAAAACGTTTTTGTAATAAAATATTAAAACAAGGCTAAATTCAAACTGTAGCAGAGTTCTCATCGTAAGAAACACTAAAATGCAGATTTGCAGAAGAAAAAAAATTACAATATTGACAATCCGTCACATTATTTTAAAAATTTTGCAAAAAGAACGTGATCTAAGCTATATGCATACAAAAGAAAAGAAAAAAAGGACCGGCTGGTTGCCATTTTTTTAAATGTGATAGTGTGTACATCTATCAAACAAAAGTAATCTCTTTTAACAAGAGTCCCACAAAGGGACATAATTGTATTATACTGGCTGAAATTAATGTCCAGGAATTCAAGATAAGACAATTATTTCCTTTTAAATGTTGAGTATTCAAACAATCTCTACATCCTTTAGTAAAAAAATATTTCAAATTGACTGCTGTGAAAGTTAAATTTGCCAATAGCTTCATTATGACCAGCAATGCATCATTTAGGATCAACAAAACAACATGAAACATCTTCTGGTGGACATCGCATGTTGATATGATTTTCCATTATCAGAAAAGAACAATAACAATATATTCAAGCTGGCTGACACGGTGGCCATATGTTTTTTACCAGACTGACACCATTTCCATTTAGGATCAATTAGGACCAACCAATAGTGATAATATGTTTTTGAATAATTGGAAAGCGGATGTATGAGCAGCACCATTTTAATTGAAGACCGTCAAGAAGTCATTTGGTAAAAACTCCATTTTGATACTACCATTGCTTCGGGGATTAGCGATAAAAAGATTTTCAGTATGACCGTTGTACCAGTCGTATTGACATGCAGATCGGCATAATTTTCATTGAGGACCACCTAGATAGCTAAGAAAGTCTTTTCGTGCAAAAATGAGGTCGACGTGACTTTCCACTCATGTGAAATGATAAAAGATTTCCAAGAAAGCTGATGTGGCAGCTTAACTTGATGTTACATTGGTACAAATTTTATTTAGAACCAACTAGACATCATGAGCAATATGTCAGTGAAAATGATAATGTAATTATCCATTAGAATTATTGATAGCAAAATTCAAGATAACCATTATAGCGGTCATATTTAAGATCAGATCAGCACTATTTTTATTTAGGAGCAACTTGACATCATAAAAAATCCTTTATTGAAAACTGCACGGCAAATATGACTTTCTCGTCAGGAGAAGTAGTGATACAAAGATTTTTCAAGAGAGCTTATATGGCAGCCATATTGGATTTTCCGAGCAGCGCCATTTAGAACCAAAATAATTTAGTGATTGCGTTGTGAAGTTTCATGGCACTCGTGCTAATAGTTTAGGAGGAGTAGCAAAAACTGACTCGTTCTAACGGACAACATGCTATCCCATATCCCAAAACTAAAATTATGTAACTTTGCATTCACCAGTAACTAAATCTATGTGACTAATTATATGGAAATACAAAAAAAAAAATATCTGAGTGAATAATTTACAGTCCAAGATATTGGTAAACCTAAAATTCAGGAAACTTAAAGATTTCAAGGGGCATATTTTTCATTAACTTTATACTGTTATTCGTGCGAATTTTTGCTGTATCTTGGATTCCTTAGTACCAGGTCACTTCTTATGCAATTAATTGGTGGTCTCACAAAGGAGAGTAAAAATTATTATGAGATGGGATAAGCATCGTTTTATTACTCGTGGTTTAGCTTAGAAGAGACTCGTACAAAACATCTTTTAGGGTCTTGCTTGTTTCATTTTTCTTCATTACATTTTCATTTTTCTTGGAAAATAAAGAAGAGCGTTATTTATGGGATTCGGAAACTTTTCTAACCTCAGTAAAATGAACATAGCATTGACTGTAAATTTAGAGACAATTGTCCCTTGATATTTAAATGTATGCATTAGTCATCTGTTTTGCCATCTTGTCTCTACGTATTCAATATTTGTACTGCATTTGTATCATATTCGATGTCAATGGATAATAATTAAACACTATTTTGTTTTGGGAATGTCACGATACACATAACTTGGCTTCCCGGGTTTTTTTCTTTCATCTGCCACTGCTTCTATTTGTCCATCTGTTACTAATATACCTTCAGTAACTCCAATATATGAAGCCGATTCTGTAATTCGGTGGTCTTTGGCTTTCAAATTTTCTACAAGTTTCTGAAAAATACAGGAAACAAATGGATTATCTAATGCCAACTGTGTATTACTATATAAATACACGATTGCTCATGTATACAACACATTAATGCTTGACTTTATAGGCGTCAGATTTAAGCATGATTTTAATTGTTCCACTCTTTTGTGTTACGGTCAGGTGATTTGCAAATGTTTACCTGCTCTTCCAATCGGTGCCTTAGGCCTGATTGAAAACCAAATCAAACGCAGAAACACTGTCGTGGATATCTTGAAAGAAATATTTTATCAACACTCTCCATTGCGAAAATTATTAGAAGAAACAAACGCTCCCTGCAATCGCTTTTACCATGAATTTAATTGCAATAGAAGATTTTAACAGACAATGGCTGTGTCAGATAAGATTGGTATACATAAAGTCAGTGATGATCACAAAGGTGTTGCATATTAAAACGACGGCCTGAGTTTTATAGTACCGATGGGGGTCAAGAAAATCGTTTACATAAGATCGTTGTCAGCTTATGTATGTAACGGAACCGTGTAATCCGATAGTATTAAATGGCGCGTGTAGCAACACCCTTATCTCGTTTAGGATAAGGTCAAGGTCATGTGTCAATTGGCTATTAATAGGATCTATCTTTTGCTTGAAAGCTGGAGAAGAAAACAAAGAGCACAGATCCCAGTTTTTATGTCATATAACATGCAGGTAAATTAGGGGCTTTTTTTTTCTTTTCGTGAAAAATCTTAAGAAAAACATTGGACAAAGACATTGGTCTTCTGTCAAATAAAGAGAGCACAAATAAACGTTTTTGTTTTCTGCTTAAAATCCGAAGAATACCCGATATAAATCCTGCTTTAATGGCTTGTAGATCCTGATTTGATGGCTAGTAAATCCTGATTTGATCGCTTGTAGCTCCTGATTGGATGGTAGTAGATCCTGATTTGATCGCTTGTAGATCCTGATTTGATGTTTTAGTATGTGCTCTGACTTAAAGGTCGATCGATGTTCACAGTGTTGTGTAGTTTGGTAGTTTTAAAATTAAACATTATGCGATGATAAATAATTGACCTTTGTATATGAAATTAGAAACCTGTTAAAAAAAATAATTTTCAAAATAATAAAGTATTCTTCATTAACCAGAATTTTCAGAACTAGTCTGTTGCATTTAGTTTCTGGCCTGGCCAGCTTGTTCTACTGAGAGAATAGAAGAGTGATAAAATACAGAGAAAGAGAAGACTGAAAGAGATTTAAGTTGTTTTTTTTTCCAACCATGTTATTCCATATATGCACGAATACATTGTTGTATGATGCTTAGTACATCATAGTTTTGAATCTATTTAGAAACATTTGCACTTACCATAGAACATGTGCCTGTATTAAAAAGCAAAAATAAATTCAACTGCACTTGCGTTTCACACTTTTCTTGCTTTGTGTTATCTATAATACCTTTTCCATTCTAAAGACTTCATCGTTGATATTAAATAAACTCCATATTTCCACAAAGGAGATAAATTTCCATTGCAAGGCATTCTGTTCTTCATAGCATAACTGTAATTTAAGAATAAGAAAGAACAAATTTCGGATTACCTCTGACATGCCACTTTCACAAGTCAGGTTATTTGGATTCAAAACGTGATTGAATCTTTTGGCATCCATGGCTTCCGCCAACGTTTGATTCAGCCATAATACACGCATCAGAATCTGAAAAAAATGAATTACGTGAATATTAAAAATGGTTTTCTAGTATCTAATTACACACGTTTTGTCATGTATTAGAACAAGTTTATACATTCTTACCAAATCATTAGATGTGGTTCATGATAAACGAGTTCGTCCACTCATTTGTATTAAAAAATATTACATTGTTATGACTGAATTTGATCAAAAAGAATTCATTAAGCTAAATACACTTATTTTCTGAATGTTGAAATAGTTTATTGTTAGTTTCGTTTCACAGATATGAGAACAATCTTCCGTTCTCTAGGCTATCACGGATATATAACAGATGATAGCGTATAGAGGCTAAATCGTCCGACTTTCTTCCGTTTTCATTTAGGTCAATCACATATAGATAACATCTGATTCGTATCATGCAGAAGGCTTGGTGTATATGTCTAGTCGTGTGCACTACTTACTATTAAACTTTGGAAAAATTTGCTTGATAGCAGCAAGTACGATGAGAAAGGTCACGTCAATCGCTTCTTTGCTCGGTGAGGCACAGCATATTCTGCACGGAAGTTTCATTATAAAGGACTCATGGGAAGCAGGCGCAAGCTGATGAACATGCTCACTAAGAAGTGTGTGTGTGTGTGATTTGGATTTTTAACGTAGCTTTTATAATTTTTCAGTCATATCGTTATGATGTCTACAGTGTGACAGTTGAGAGCGATGTCTAGCACTGGGCCATCGTGCCGCAGACATGTAGCGTGATGTTCCACCCAGTCACATTATCCTGACACCAGGCCGACCCGTCCAAACACTAATCTCTTAATGCTGAGCGCCAGGAGTGGCAGCTGTTAGTACCACTTTTGTAAGTCTTTGGTATGACTCACCTGGGGCTCGAACCCACGGCCTCCCGCATCCGAGGCGGACGCTCTAACCACTAGGCCACCGGAACGGTTGACTAGGAAGAACCCATTTCAAGAGTACAGGTGAAGGCCAAGGGATATGAAGAGGGGTTGTTTTTGGAAAATTACTGCGAAATATAAGTTGGTGACTTTCCAAAACATTATACTGACGCACCTATTTACTACAATGCATGTGATAATACCACTTTTCTCTTTTAATGTAAATGAGCGAGTGATGTATATTTTATTGTAATATCTACATCACTCTACACTTACATGAAACGAGCAAAGTGGTATTAGGTTGCATGCATTGCAGTAAATTTGTTGTTCGCTTGGTTGTCATAATCTATCTGCATCTACCGTTTTGATCTAAGAAATTTTTGCATGAATTCATGCATCGTCTTCATTACGATGAATTGTGCAGCCCTGGATGTTATATATTGTTTGTTTTGCCCTCAAACAAGTTTTATCTCAATAAACGTTGTTATATCAAGAGAAAATAAACGACTTTAGTGATGTCTGATTAGCACTGTCTGTTGAAATATCAAGTATTTGTTTAAATTATGCACAGCATTACAGGTAAGCTATTTAATATAGTTGGAGGACACACAGCGGTAGTCATCCGATGGCGGGATACGGAAATGGACTTTGACCGTCCATATACCAGCTTACAGACCAATCATATTAAGAGTGATAAAGAAACAAAAAATATATTGACTATAATATTTAACGTGAGCCAAAATATGTTTCAACTGAACTAAAACTCAGACATACGAAGTATTTCATCGTAAAAGTAGGAAAATGCAGGTGATTCAAGGTAGTGGATGATAAAGGTTTGTCTGTTAGATACACAGATATAGAGAAAGACAGATAAATCTATGAAGTGAACCATTTAAAAGTGACGCAAAGGTCTATAATATAGATTTTAATTACAAACGCATTTTCCATATATATATATATATATATATATATATATATATATATATATATATATATATATATATATATATATATATATATATATATATATTATTTGCCCAATCTAAGAAAGCCCCGTCGCTGAGTACATTCCCTGATCCTACACAGTATCAATATTAACCATAAGAAAGCAGCATGTCACTATATTACAATGTACGGACTCCCGCAAGTAATATTCCCAGAAAGAAATTCATAAGTGAACAACGTTTATTATTTTCGAACGTTAAGGTATTCATTCTCTTTTCCACTTTCAAGCAGATGTCGTCAATCTCCTCAGCAAGCTCACAAGATTCCAGGAATTGCATGAGAGCTTTTAGCACGCACCGTTTTCGCTTTCAATCATTAGGAAGATGGTTGCCACATTTCCTCCATTTCTGTATCACTTTCACTGTATACAACATAATTTTTGCACCCCGCCATTAAAATGTCAGAATCCATAATTTCCTCGAAATTCTCACTGCGAAAGTTAGTCACCTTGTATTAACTATAATAAGGGAAGTGATTGTTGTGGACAATATCCCTTTTTATTGCTTGAAATTAAGTTTGTAGTCATTGTGTTCTGAAATATACTAGCCCACATTTAGCTGAACCGAATGTTGTGGCTGGTGCCGACATTACCGTCGAATTCTAAGTGGTTGGTTCACTTGTTTTGTTATAAGTGACAATATGCTCGCGACATTCTCAAATTCGCGGTAAATCCTACGCATGATACCTTCATTGTAGGTCAATAGCTCCATTCAGACCATCTCGGCTACTTACGAAGCAATGAATAACTGAGAAATTTCGAATGCATCGAAATACTCTTTGATTCGTAACTTTTCAATCTATCCTACAGTCAATCCTTGATACAGTCTAGTTTCACAGAGAAAGTTCAAAAGTTCCAATGATCAAAATGTATAACCTTTCTGTAAATTACTGCGTCGATATACATCCGAGGAATGATTTTGTCTCGGAAATAGCCATGTTTGTTTTAAAGTGCTCGCTTCTTGTGAATAGTCTTCAATGACTCGCGATAACACGATGTCATGCAGTACTGGTTCATCTAGGTAAGTACAAACAAAGTTGAGATATTACTAATAACCATTATTGCAGGCAGTCGATAATTAAATTCATTCTGGTTGACAAGCATTGCTGACAAGCTTGATCAGTGATCATTTTTTCGTTTCGTAATTTTTTTAGTGTTTAGACTTGGATAGAGAGGGTGACGAATGAAAGGGTGAATTAAATAAAGAATCAGTTGGTACATTCAGGTTTATTATTGGCATATTCAGGATTATTATTGGTACATTCAAGTTTATTATTGGTACATTCAGGTTTATTATTGGTACATTCAGGTTTATTATTGGTACATTCAGGATTATTATTGGTACATTCAGGTTTATTATTGGTACATTCAGGATTATTTTTGGTACATTCGGGTTTATTAGTGGTACATTCAGGATTATTATTGATACATTCAGGTTTATTATTGGTACATTCAGGTTTATTAGCGTTATCTATGGGTGGCAAGAGACTAGGAGAAAAACAAACAGGAAGTACTTTACTGTATCCAGTTTGCATTAACATTTTCTGTCTTATTTACTTTACTGTATCCAGTATTCATTAACATTTCCTGTCTTTTTTACTTTACTGTATCCAGTATTCATTAACATTTCCTGTCTTTTTTACTTTACTGTATCCAGTGTTCATTAACATTTCCTGTGTTATTTACTTTACTGTATCCAGTGTTTATTAACATTTCCTGTCTTATGTACTTTACTGTATCCAATGTTCACTAACATTTCCTGTCCTATTTTTATTTATATTTGTATATATGTATACTTCTTTTGGTGGATTAAATAACTGTTTAATAAAGCTATCACGACGACGAAGATTTTTACAATGTCCTTGCACGCAGATGTTGATCCTACCTGTACGATAACATTTATTATACTGTTCCCTCCAGCGGCCCCAATCACCAGCTTCACATCACCCTTTTTGTCTGTTAGTATAACAGGTACCATGGCAGACAATGGCCTCTTAAAGGGTTCAACTTTATTTGCCTCAAATTCCTGAAAACAAATTATTATTATATTATACGAAAGCTATTTGCATTCCTATGTTAACAAACACATTGTAGACATAAAATGACACAAATTTTCTCCCACCCCATGATAAGGATTTGGCCCAAGTCTTAACTTTTAGAGAACCTTTAAATCATTGTCCTTCTACTGCCACTACCCACACAACCCCATTTCGGCTACCAAACCAGGCAACCGCTGAAAGGCTGCCAAAGGCTGATCACTGGCAACTTTGAACTTTCTCAAGACCTTTCTGGCTTGACTATGATAACTCTAATGCAAAATTTATTCAATTTTAGGTTTCAGTACTTCTTCGAACTGGTTTGTTTGTTTTATGAAAATGTATTTGATATTTATCACCACACCACCCCAGTTACACATACCAAAGTTTGGCTGTCGAAAGGCGAGGTCGTCCTTGCAGGAACAGAAAGAAAAGTACGCCCTTGTAATTAAAAGTTGCCGGCTATTAGCGATAAACAGTATGGTTTCTTTTGTGCTCTTGCTGTACCGGCGATGCCTGTTACACTATAGTAATAGCTGCGTCTGTCCTAGCCTAGTTGGGGTATTTTGGTCCAAATTTTTGTAACTGGGTGGGTTAACACATATATAACACCAAATTACATCTACTTGTGTTTATTAAATATACACAGTTAAGTCACTTCATGAAAGCAGACACCCAAACATGTTACTTCATATTAAATCCACCTATCCCCCTTTATCCTGTGCTATGTCCCGCAAGGTAAAGCAGTCCGCCTATCCCTTTCCATCTTGTACCATGCCCCATAAAGGTAAAGGAGTCCATCTATTCTCCTTTCCGTCCTTTACTATACTGCACAAAGTAAAGGGTCCACCTATCTTCCTTCCATCCTACACCATTGCCAGCAAGGTAAAGGAGAGTGTGAACAAAGGGTTATAGTCAAAAGTATATCACATATATTATTATAATCAAAAGTATATCACATATATTATTATAATCAAAAGTATATCACATATATTATTATAGTCAAAAGTATATCACATATATTATTATAGTCAAAAGTATATCACATATATTATTATAGTCAAAAGTATATCACATATATTATTATAGTCAAAAGTATATCACATATATTATTATAGTCAAAAGTATATCACACATATTATTATAGTCAAAAGTATATCACATATATTATTATAGTCAAAAGTATATCACATATTATTATAGTCAAAAGTATATCACATATATTATTATAGTCAAAAGTATATCACATATTATTATAGTCAAAGTATATCACATATATTATTATAGTCAAAAGTATATCACATATATTATTATAATCAAAAGTATATCACATATATTATTATAATCAAAAGTATATCACATATATTATTATAGTCAAAAGTATATCACATATATTATTATAGTCAAAAGTATATCACATATATTATTATAGTCAAAAGTATATCACATATATTATTATAATCAAAAGTATATCACATATATTATTATAGTCAAAAGTATATCACATATTATTATAGTCAAAAGTATATCACATATATTATTATAGTCAAAAGTATATCACATATATTATTATAGTCAAAAGTATATCACATATTATTATAGTCAAAAGTATATCACAAATATTATGTACATTATTTCTATGCTTAAGTGCACAATTTATGAACAAGAAAATTTCAAAAATATCTCAGTAATTGGTATTTTTAAACATTTGACCTTTCAACCCTTTCCAGGGCCAAAAGAAAAGGTGGTTCAGACTTACACCACCCTAGCAAATAGTTACATAGTCAAAAAAATGTCATGTTTTCTAATTTCCATCAGACAATATAGAAGTGACGTCAGTGAATGGACAGACGGAGGGAATCACAGTATGCTCGTGCTTGACAAAAAAGCATTGGGATATAAAAAAACAACAACACGTGTTTGCTACAAAGATACAGAAAACAAGAATGTTAAGTCGTTTGAACTCAAAGATTCCAGCTGCAAGTTTCATGTGATAAACTAACGAAACAGC